GCTGGCACGCTCACACGTGTGCACGCTCACACATGCCGGGATGTGCATGCTCCCTGCACACGCATGCAATGCCCTTTGCACACCGATGCATGCACGCTCGCACCGTGCATGCGGGTGCTGGGGGGCACGCGGTGCAGCACGCAGGCCTGTCCCCAGCACCGTGCCACCCGCTGCGGTGTCCCCAAACTGCCCACGGCGCGGAGCCCGCGGCGGTGACATCGGGAGCCCGGTGGGCACGGGGGGCACCGGGGCTTTTATAGCCCCCGGGCACCTAAGCAGCTCAGCGTGGCCGCCCTTAATCCTGCCCGCGACCGGCGGGCGCCCTAAGCCGCTTGGGCCCCTCGTCCTTCCTGCGCAGGGACGTGGCAGGGGGACGTGGTGCGGGAATGTGGCATGGAGACGTGGCATGGGGACGTGGCATGGGGACGTGGTGTGGGGATGTGGCATGGGGACATGGCATTGGGATGCGGTGCAGGAATGTGGCATGGGGATGTGGTATGGGGACGTGGTGTGGGGATGTGGCATGGGGACCTGGCATTGGGATGCGGTGCAGGAATGTGGCATGGGGATGTGGCATGGGGACGTGGTGTGGGGATGTGGCATGGGGACATGGCATTGGGATGCGGTGCAGGAATGTGGCATGGGGATGTGGTATGCGGACGTGGTGCGGGCATGTGGCATGGGGACATGGTGTAGGGACATGGTGTAGGGACACGGTGTGGGAATGTGGCATGGGAACATGACATTGGGACGTGGTGCGGGAATGCGGCATGGGAACGTGGCATGGGGACGTGGTGTAGGGATGCAGCAAGGGGACATGGCATGGGGACATGATGTAGGGATGTCGCATGGGGACCTGGCATGGGGACACGGTGCAGGAATGTGGCATGGGGACATGGTGTAGGAATGTGGCATGGGGACGTGGCATGGGAACATGGCATTGGGACATGGTGCAGGAATGTGGCATGGGGACATGGCATGGGGACATGGTGTAGGGATGTGGCATGGGGACATGGCATGGGGACATGGTGCGGGAATGTGGCATGGGGACCTGGCATGGGAACATGGCATTGGGACATGGTGCAGGAATGTGGCAGGGGGACGTGGTGTAGGGATGTGGTGCGGGAATGTGGCATGGGGACATGGCGTGGGAACACGGTGTAGGGATGTGGGCATGGGAACATGGCATGGGGACATGGCATGGTGACGTGATGCAGGAATGTGGCATGGAGACATGGCATGGGGACATGGTGAGGGAATGTGGCGTGGGGACATGGCATGGGGATGTGGCATGGGGACATGGTGAGGGAATGTGGCATGGGGACGTGGCATTGGGATGTGGTGCAGGAATGTGGCATGCGGACGTGGTGCAGAGATGTGGTGCGGGGACAGGGCATGGGGACGTGGCATTGGGACATGAAGTGGGGACGTGGTGCGGGGATGCAGCATGAGGACGTGGTGTAGGGATGTGGCATGGGGCCATGGTATGGGAATGTGACGCGGGAATGCGGCACAGGGATGTGGCTCAGGAATGTGGCGCATGGACGCGGCACGGGGACGTGGTGCAGGAATGTGGCATGGGGACGTGGCACGGGGATCCGGCTCCGGAATGTGGCTCATGGACGTGGCATGGGGACGTGGCATCGGGACGCTGCCATCCGCAGCCCGTGCACGCCGAGGCCAAAAGAATGAGTGCAAAAAAGGCAAAATACAAAGGGCTCGTCCGGGATTTGAACCCGGGACCTCTCGCACCCTAAGCGAGAATCATACCCCTAGACCAACGAGCCGGATGGAAGCAACAGCTGGATGCACCGTGTCCAGCAGCCTGGGGGGGACACGGGACCCCCATTTTGGTGTGCAGCCCCCCCGGACACACGGGTGCCCTGCAGCCCTGTGCCCTGCGGCTGGCAGTGCCCCCGGACCATCGTCACCGGTCCTGCACCCCGCTCTGCCATGCACGTGGGATGCGCCCTGGGGTGCTGCCTTCTGCGGTTATCCCCCCCGCTGCCAAGAATGCAGCCTGCAAGACACCCCCGAGCAGCGTGTCCATTGCAAGGTACCCCCTGAGCAGTGCATCCATTGCAATGCACTCCCGAGCAATGCATCCCCTGCAAGACACCCCCTGAGCAATGCATCCCCTGCAATGCACCCCCCGAGCAATGCATCCCCTGCAATGCACTCCCCAAGCAATGCATCCCCTGCAATGCACCCCCAAGCAATGCATCCCCTGCAATGCACCCCCCGAGCAATGCACCCCCTGCAATGCACCCCC